GAGAGAGAGAGAAAGAGAGAGAAAGAGAGAGAAGTCACACACACGGAGTGTCGGACATTTGGGAATCGATTCTCATACTGGCTGGTACGTGCGTGTTTTGTTCAACGTGCACACATACTGTCACGTCTGCATGTGCACACGTACGCACTCATACACGTACACGGGTAGGATGCAAGAGAGAGCGGGTTATAGGTCGTGGAAAGACGAGGCGACAACTAGCTGGAGGTTAGTCCTTGATATACTTACCCCCAGGGAGCTGACCCCGTCCGTCTCGTCCTAGCTGCATTAAACCCTGCCGGATATCTCTCAGTATCTGAAACAGCACAATGTCGACGTCACGAGTAAACGTTTATCCAGCATTGTGATTAAAACTGCTATTAGCTATGTCCGCTTCGGTGTTTGCATGCCGCAAGATTGCTTTCGTCAATTTCAACGTACATTCGCGAATATCGACGATAAACGCTTGAAAAATTGATCGCACAATGTGTATCATTCATTATTGCTATTAAATCGTAAACTCTAAAACAGTATTAGAAAAAGTTAATTTATCCTCTCACAAATTTATTTCTTACCGTTATTTGATTTAAAGAGAAATGAAAGCAAGGTGATTTCCGAGTTGCCGTTAAAGACGCGCCTCCACATATTACATAAAAAATTACATTGAATAAAATTGTATAATGGTATGTATGATTAAATAAGGATAATGATCCGTATGATCAATGCAAAAGAGAACTCGTTATCTTGAATCCCGTATCACGAGATTCAACTTGTATTTGCAAGTTCATTTTTATATCTTCTCGTTAGATCGAGTTTACAAACTTTAAGTTTAATAATTAGGTTTAATCCTCGAAGTCCCCGTCACGCGCGTAACTATTAAATCTATAAAATATTATTTAAATATGTCAGAAATTCTTATTAAACTTTGTTGCGCGTCCAGGTATCGCTTCTACGCAAATTGCGTTTCTACGTAAGTAGCTAATTGAAGTAATGGCGCGCCTAAGGACTGAATTTCATGCCGGGAGATGCCTTACCATCGGTAGCGTAATCGCGTGTAATCTAAATGGTATTATCGGGAACTTACATGCGCGGTTCTTTCACGGCCGCATAATCGCCGTTATCCGGCCAGCGTTGGTCGGACCACCACCGACGATTTTGAGATATTCGCAATCGTACGGTACGAGATAAAGAGAGAAATGGAAGGAAGGATAAAGAGAAGAGAACTGTGTGTACATACATCGTAGTTTTCCTGCGGTCGATGACCGCGCATAAGTCCTCGATAATCGATGGAATAAAACGAAAAGTGATTATCGATCAGAACGTTGCAGACGTAACATCCTGATGAGGGACAGCTCGGTCGAAGGTTGTTTCTTGGTTGAAAATAAAAAGAAAAGAAAAAAAAAAAAGAACCGGAATAGCAGTCGGAGCGGAAGAAGATGAGGACGAGAGGGAGGTTAGTCAAGGCGGTCGCCTGTGGCTGAGTCAGTTCCAACCGAACCGAAGAAGTCAAAGTGAGGAAGAAGAAGTGGGAGCAAAGGGAAGAGAACAGGAAGGACGCGATGGCAAGAGCCAGGAAGAGAAGGAAAGAGGAAGATTCTCCAGGGAGCAATAAACTCGCGGAGGTAGAGGTGACACTAAAACTTTTACACGGATACCGACCTTTATTTCCATATTGCTCGCAGCCTCAAAGGAACATGGCCGCTTTATTTCTTCCAACGGTCTCTTCCTTCGGTATCTCTCCGCCCTTTTCTCATTCTCGGCCCGATCCGCCGCACTCCCGTGCCGCGAACCCGCGGCGCGGCCCGTGCCGCCGGTTTTCGGCAATTTCGGCGACCCTTTCTCGCGCCCCGCCCCATAAAACTTCGCAAAATTCCGCAAAGCTTACGTCCGCGTAATTAAAACTCCCGGCTCGTGCCCCCGGTTGCGACGTTCGCGCGCCGTCCATTTTTACGGCCGTGATCCTTCGCTCTAATGGGCAGCTTTTGGCAAGCGGCGACGGTGGGATCTCGTGTACGGAGAGAGATTCTCGAGGATACGCGACACACGTAACGAGTTGCAAGCTGCGCTGCCACGCTGCGGCATTACTCTCGATGTTGTTACGTGCGAAGCGTGTATAATGCGTCGCTCAAGTGTTCTCTCGTGTGAAACAACGCGTTTATACGCGTGCGCCCGCTTATGCATGAGCCGCACGGTATTCATGATTGCATCGAAACGGTCCCGTTGAAACCGCCACTTTTCCCTCATTACTGGTTATCTTTGGTATTTACAGGATATTCCGTGTCCGCTATGTTAATTTCTATGGGGAGAAAATTTTTTCGGTCAATTTCCCGTCTATTTTACATTATATTTTTATGAATCTGATTAGATGACATTTGTTTGCACAATTTTTTATGCGATATGTGTACACAGCCATCAGAAATTCAATTTTATCATCAGAAATATGTAAAATGAACAATGGAACGTGATATCGTCCGCAAATTGTAGAAAAGAAACCAAGAAGAAAAGACTTCGACGACTTTTATATACGTGCTGCTAACTTTTTAATGGAGTTAATTTTTTAATAAAGCTGCGCGCGGTATTATCTCAGAGTATTCTTTTCAAGTACTTAATTTAGTCTATCGCAATCTCTCATTAAATATATTTCTTTTATATAACAAAGATAAATTGAAGATAATAAACTTTTTATTAATAATTATTATTAAAAATCGACAAAAGAACAAGGTATTTATCAAAGTTAATTTTAGAGGATCGAATAGATGAGATAATAAAAAGGGTTGTTTATTGAAATTTTCATAAGGTTTTCAATGAAAGTTAGCTGATAGATTTTATTCATAAAAGTTCTGTTTTGTCTTGGTAATTCCTGCCGCTTTCTACACCGGCTTACTACAATTTTCATATCCAGTGTTTATTGGCTTTTATCGTTTAAATGCCATCGATCAAATTACTTTAATTAATCTATATTTTTGTTTTATCTTAATTAAGTAATTATATATCAGATATTATCAATCATAAATAGTAAAAACTGCATTATATATAAAATAAAGCTATGTGTTCTTGCCTTACAATTACGAGACAAGAAGAAGCGAAGCAGAAAGCCTCGTGTTGGACGCGAAACCATGACGGAAAATAAGAAAAGTAAGAAAACTCCATACACGCGATATCGCGAGAGATCGTGCATAAGGAATTCACGACGTAACGTCGCGGTACGCATTGACGATTATGATGATATCACGCTGATCTGGCTACTTTGCATAATAAGTGGTATCGAGTTGGCGAAAGACAGTTCAAAGTAGGGAGTTAGTAGGGAGAGCACGACGAATGGGGAACGAGCTCGCGCGTACGTGAAACGAAGCGGGACCGCGGTACGTAGGGAAAAGGGAGGTGGCCTTGGTGATAACACACACATGCAAATTTCGTCCTGCGAGAATTCCGTTGCGGGAAGCAGGATTGTATCGGATAAGGCCACCGGCTCCCAGGGCCAATATCAGTCGAACGACGCGAAGAGGGTTGCCGATGATCCGGGCAACGCGCGGGGAAGGGGGCAGGGGGAGCTGCGGGAAGAAAATAAACGACTACGTGGCGCACGGGTCGATTTAATCGCGATAAGACACCGCGCTGTTCTTATCGCGATCGACTACGCACGATAACGAAAATTGTCGCTCGCGCGCAAAACGCGAGACGTGAGTGCTCGCACGAAATGCGGTGAGATATATCCGTAATATATCCGGAAGCGCCATTTGACAATTTAAGGGGAACGGAAAGGAGGACGAAGCTTCTCGGTTTGCCATGCCCGATTGAACGAATTTAATCACAAGCGCGGTTGAGCGGCGATAAGAACCGCTGTCGAATTATCGGCGATTTTCGATATTAGTCCTTCTACTTCCCGCGCGAGTTCTCCTGTACAAGTAAGTTCATTAACGAAAACCGGTAACAAAAATCTCATTGTGAAATCGGCAGATAAAGATGGACTTAAGATGTGCACTCACCTCCTCGTGCTCTTTGTGAAACCGCTCTTTCTTTCGCAGCGCCTCTTGAACTTTCAGCTGAAAAATGTAAGGGGATGGAAGCGTTCTTAAGTTTCGTTTAAAAAGGTTTTATCGACGGTAAAGCGACTTTCTCACGAAAGCGACTTGGAGCATTCGAAGTGAATTCAAGAATCACGATAAATTGTATAAAAGCAAGTATAGTTTTCACTCAAGAATTCCAATGTTACTAAAAGAAACTATTATATATTATCGACCTCTACTTTTCAAAAGAACATTTTATGAAGTTTAATATAAAAAATATAACATGTAAGTAATAAATGTAAAATTAAAATTTATAATTTAAGCAGAGTTTAATTTTTTAATTATTTTACAGATTATAAAATAATATAATTTACCCTATGAATGGTTTCTTCAAAACTGTTCGGTTGGCCGCCGTTCATCTGTAGATATCTCAGTCGATCGTAATCTCGAGGATCTACCATTGAACGAAGAATCGTGTGTCCCATGTCGGGTCCAAGACCCAAACCGCTTTGTAAAACACTGTCTGGTGTGTCTACCTGTAAAAAAAATAAAAATTGAAATCATTAAAATAAACGTACGTACGTAACGTGACAAATTGAATAATTATTTGAATATTATCAGAGAATTCATTTCCATTAATGATATAAAAAAAAAACTGCTTCTTAAGTTTAATAGAATTTAAAATAGATAAAACATAAAAATCAATACTATAAAATAAAAATATAAAAATAAAATATACATAAAGAGATACTGCACTTTAAAACGTTTTATTCCCATCTAAAAAATGTTAAAATTCCATATCTTTCTTTTTTCTCTGTTTTTTCAGATTTTTATTCTTTTCTATATTCCATCTATCTTCTCCTTTATAAAGTAATATTACGTAAATTACTTTCGCGTTGAGAATTCAATTTATGCGAATATCGTAAAATAATGAGATCCGCTGTAGTCAGGACATTGATTACGAATGATAGTTTGTAGAGATCCTCACAATAATTTATTGCGATCGTCGTGCAAATCCGCCTTCGCGCGGATACATTTTTGTACGAAGATATAGCATTCCCTTTCATAGAGAGCATCTCCTATTCTATAGAATGTCGAGCTCCTTAAAAGCGGCTGCCATTTATTCTCGCGACGTTCCTGCCGCTAATGGGGCTCGTGCATAAGATATTCAGGACGTGGCGAGGGTCGCCATGGAGATCGTCGATTTCACGTTTCTCCATCCCACGGGAAGAGAGTGAGAGTGAGAGTGAGTGAGAGAGAGAGAGAGAGAGAGAGAGAGAGAGAGAGAGAGAGAGAGAGAGAGAAAGAGAGAGAGAGAAAGAGAGAGAAAGAGAAGGAAAGGGAAAACACGAAGAGGGAATGGGAATACACGAAGTCGTGTATTTTGGAAAAACGTAGCGCGAGATTCTAATCGTGCGGGCGAAATGGGCGACGTTACGAGCGTTGCGTTAGTCGAATGATTAAGGTAGAAGCCCGAGAGTTTCGTTCCCGCGGTAACTTGAAGACAAAGCCCTCGAAGTATTTACAAAGGACCGCCTCTTCTACGAGATTAGCCTGAGTAGGGAAATTCATCTCCCTTTCCTTACTATTTTAAGCGCGTCCTCGCCGTTGTCGTCATCGTCGTTGTCGTTGTCGTCGTCGTTGTCGTCGTTTTCGTTATTGCTGTAGCGTCGTCTTACAGCAAACTATCGCAGTAGAGGAATGGTTCACGACGAAAATTAACGTGTTGACACCCTGTGAATGCGGCCTACAGAGATTATTTCATACAGTATCTTCAAGACATTGTTACTGAAGTGAAGTACAGAGATAATGGAGAAGATTTGTTTGTAATATTGATTCCGCTGCATTGTGTATGAAATATTTTCGGTAAAAAAAAAATACTTTTTGTAGTAAAAATTATAAAAAATTAATGACGTCAATGTAGAAAATTAGACATTTAATGTTAAAAGAATTCGAATGTTGGCCAATTTAAAGCATTCTTACATATGTATTAGAATTTTAATATTAAGATTTTTTAAATAAAAAAAATAACTTTTTTCATCGTATTTTATGTTAAAATTTACAGATAAAATTATTTCTTTAATAAAACTTTAGTTCAACTATTTCATGTTTTGTAATTTAGATCTTAAAAGATTTAAATTATAACACTATTTTCATCATACAAATTCATTAATTGAGCATCTCATAAATTTCAAATTTGTGAATAAGTCATGTAAAAGGATATTAAAATGCTAATAAATATAGGAAAATTCACATAAACTAGTGTGCACTTCATATATTTTGTTAAAAATTAATGAGTTATCGATTTTTATATAAGAGATAGTTAATAGGGTCATGATTAGACTATCTTAATACGAATAACGAATAAAGTGTTAAAAGAAAGATATAGATCTAGCTTTATTTATAACAAAATTGTATTAATGCAATAGTTCTGTTAAGCGCTTTTTATTTATTTCAGTTATAGAACAATTATTTGATAATATATCTATTATAATTAGAATAATTTCACTCATATTACATTATCAATTTTTTCAATAAAAAAGCAATATAAAAGATTATCGTTTTCCCACAAGTTTTCTCGAAGTTTTTCATAGCTCAAGTTATATCTTCCTTTACCGAATGAAGAAACATCGCGTTGTGAACAAATATCGATCTATCGCGCAGTAATCTTGATTTCTAAGGAAGAAAAAGCCGTGCAGACACAGCGCCGGGACGATTACCTTGCGGTACGCGATTTAATTAAACCACGTGGTATTTATGTTAAACGGATTAGAACCGTTTGTTTGCGCTCGCAGACTGAGCTTCCTCCACGGTCGTGGCCGTAGCATCCACTAAGCTTGAATAATACCTAGAGACAAGGCTGAGAATTTACGTCGCTCCTCTGTTTGCCGGCGCGATGTTGACTTTTTCTCCTGCGAAGCGGACGGCGAGGCGGAATAACCAAAGAAATCCCAAAACCCTGGAGATGCGTTTTAAACGCATCTCTTATCCGCGAATCTCTCGTGGTAGTCTATGTAATCTTCTGATATGACGACGTTATCGCGGATTATTGTCCCTTATGATACGCTATGAAAGAGTAATACATATCGCGGCGTCTCTTTGTATTATTACAGTTATCATAGAATTGTGCTGTCATTAGGTTATCCGTTTTGCGTAATCTGTTGCGATTATTTTCCTATCATGATATCTCTTCGCTTTAATTCCGGTCACTTCATACTAATGATATAGTTAAGAGTAGTATTCACAATAATTTAGATTCTATTAAATTTTATTTTAATAATTTAAAATAACATTTGATAAATGTAAAGATTTGCGAGGATTTTCGAACCGAATAAATATTAAACGACTCGACAGAGATTCTCACGCTAATCATGCGTAACAAATACTCGACATAGTAACGAGGAGATCCTATTGCGCCTACATCCTTACCTCGTCGCGAGCTAAGGACGATGGAGCGCGCGGCGGTCTACAGATACAAATAGCAGTCGCTTCGAGAAACAATTTTGCCCATTCATCTGCCGCGGTGAGATCGACACGGTAATACATCTCGTCTGGAAATAAATGTTGCGATTGCGAGTGCGTGAACGCGAATCTCGGTACGCAACTGATTTCCATCAGTTAGCGTCCGACTTGCGCGACTCTCCCGGCCCTTCCGGTCCCTTCCGGAACGATCGAGACGGAATGCGAAAGATTAAGCGATCGTTTTCCTTCGCCGTTACGTAAATCACAATAAACCCGTCGCAGTGCGCGCGGTCCAGAACAAATGGCAGAACGTACGGCATGCGTACGAGAGATCTGCTGGCTCGCTCGAGCGAAGGATGGTGTCCGAGGAGATGAACCGAGGATCATTCGTACGCGATCGAATGCGAACGGAGTGACGAGCGGTTAGCAGGCTTTACGAGAAAAGAGCATCGGAGAGAGATGGCAGGTCTGGCACATGGGGATGGAGAAGGGTCAGAGCGGCGTGTATATTTTTAAGGCTAAGAAGTTAACTAGCCACCTGGGGCGGACTCTTCTTACAGGATCGGTTTATAGCCACTCTCAGTCAGCCGCGCTCTGCCGCCTATCGTTAATTTATCCCAGCATTGTTATTGCTCCGATACGGTCCGCAAGAAGAGAGAGAGAGAGAGAGAGAGAGAGAGAGAGAGAGAGAGAGAGAGAGAGAAGAGAAGAAGAGAG